AAGCTGCTCGAGAGAGTGATGAATGAATGGAGACCTCACAGTCGCTTTAATTTAATATAATGAAAAGGGAAACCGGGAAACCGAATGAAGTGTGATTGAAGCTCGAAAGTGGTCCTGGGATCCATGTTGAGGAGCTTCCTGGGGCAGGACTCTTGTTGGGCTTAGTTTCGCCTTGCTTACGAGCTAACAACAAACATCAGCACACGGTGCCCCGGGCCAGGGAATGCACATCCGACACCGTGTATCCTGGCCACTTTCCCCGGCTTTCCCATTGTGTCAGCATGCAACAAATGCCTCGAGTGCATAACTGCCTGCCAGGCCGTACACTGTGCGAAAAATGGCATCGAGTTAAAGCATACTTAAATTTAGAAGTCTAATTACTTAAATTAAGCCCCAAAATCATTTGTTAAAAACTTTTAAAAAACATATTTTTATTTATCTCTTATTGATAAGTATAAATACTGATAAGAGATTAGTTTCCCAGTTTTGCGTCGCCAATATAAAGTTTCGATATTATAGCTTGTTTCTGTATCACCAACATTGAAATAAACAATTTTTGCAAGCCACTTCTAATTATATTTATACATGATTAGACTCTTATTTAATAAACCTTGATTTAATAAACCTAAAGTTAAGCAGTTCGGTATTAAAAAAGGAATTAGCACTAAAGAAATACATTTTTTATTTTCGCCCATATTTTTCTTTTTCAATTATGTTTAAATAAATTCGTCTTAAAGTTACTTTATCACGACATTTTTTTGTGAAATTTTCTCCCTGTGCAGGCTCTAAACTCTGGCTCTCGCCCTGACTCTGGCATAAATCATGGCTGGCATTTGCATGTTCCACAAGCTCCTCCTGCATGCAGCTAATCTTCGTACTGGCGAAGAGGGAAGTGCATCCTTTGTATGCCTTTTGTTTGCTTTTCATGTACTTGCTCAATTAAAAAATTGCTCCAGTAGGGGGCAATTCGGGTTTGCCTTGTCGGGCAATTAATATGTTTGGTCTCCGGTAGAGAAAGCATTTTTAATTGCATTTTCACACGAAATGCAGCAATTTCGTTTGTCTGGGATTTTCACACCTATAAATATGTAAATTTCTCCTTTCACCTGCAGTGAAAGGAAAACGTGCCTTATATCTCCCTAGATAATATTAATTGCCGCTACATTTGTGGGATTTTATAATCTGACCCTCATTCAATGGTTAAATTTGCGTGTTTTTGAGTATAGAAAAATTCAAACAAGAATATATAGAGTTTGGCTTTAGAACCTTTGGCTTCGGCCCCAGCTGAAAAGCAACTGTTTCTTTATTTGGCCAAATAGAATAGAGTTCGTGTCGTTTTAGACACTCGAAAAGCCGAAGTAAAATTTCTCCCTTCGAAAAGCAACGCAGGCGCTAAATGCGATTTCGAAAGCCGAGAGAATCTCTCCACAAAAAGAAAGTTTCTGAGAAGCACAATCTAAGAGTAAGATTAATATCTAGGACTGAATAATTTTCTTATACTACATCATAAGTTGTTTTTGTAAAACAAACGTATAAGAAACCTTGAGATCTATTCGAAAATCATATTTAATTGATAGCCAGATAAGGTCATTGATGCTTTTAAGCTGACTTGAAAAAAATCATACAATTTACAAAAGCTGAGCCCCCTTAAAGAATTATTTTTTTTAAGAGCTGTTTATAAAAACGAAAAGGAATACAATATTTTTAATCGAATATTTAAGGCACTATATGTCAATTTGTAGACACAAGGCACATTAAATATAATTTTCACGTTTGCAAATATAACCTAATTTACATATTCCGTAAATCAATAAATTCATAATAGCCTAAATATTAAGTTTATTAGTTTAGCTTATTATTTATTAGTTTTTATTTCTTTTTCGATAACAACTTTAAGGTCTTGAATTTAACAGTATATGAATTTCTTTACATTATTCAGGTCCGCAATATCCATCTCAATTTGCATTCCATACCAACCATGTAAAAATATTTTCATTAGGAATATAAATCTCAAAGTTTATTCGCAGCCAGCACCGAAATAAAAATTCCGCAATCTGGTAAGGGAGAAAAATATTTTTAATTTTGCTGATTGTAGTTGCCTATAACAACAACTACATTTGCAAAGGTAAACGAAAAAATTCGTATCATCAAGCGATGCAAAAATGTGTGCAATTAAAAACTCTCTACACACAACAGCAAAAAAGAAAATGAAAAAATAAGAAACAAGTGGAAAGACTTTTGAAAGAAGCAGAAAAAATGAAAATTCAGCAAAACAAACGTAAGGGAAATTAAAAGAAGCCCAAAGCAGTTTCTAGGAATCATTGGATTTTAATTACCAGAAAAAAATGGGATAGGGATACCATAAACAAAGCCAAAGAACCTTTTGCATTTGTAAAAAAAGAGGACATGCACTTTGTAATTTGTTTGTTTATTTTTCATTTTGCTGTCTGACTTTGAATCTTGGTTTGTAGTCAAAGAGATTGGGCACTCACTGCATGATTGCATTTTTGTGGATTTTCAATTAACTAAATTTTAGCCCAGGAATCGGCGATTTATTTTTTAATAGTATACATTTTAGACCTTTTTCGGAGTTTAATGTATTGATATTACTTAAGAGATTAAATTATAATAATACGTAATTTATCTTATCCAACTATTAATATACTGTTGATTAAAAAAACTATGAATAAACATTTTTTTAATTTATATTACTTAAAAGATTTAAGTAAAAATAGGTAATTAATTTTACCCTACCATTAATATACTGTTGGTTAAAAAAACAAGGATTTAAAATAATGAAATAAATCATTAATCCTTTTATTATTGTGTTGGCAATGTTCATTATTAGTTCGTTGAATTGTAAGGCCCGTTTTTCTTAGTTAATTTAATACAACTTTCAAGAGCAAAATGTATTGGCTAAATATTTATGAACTGACACCCTTGCAGCTAGAACGTTCAATATTTAAGTTTTTTGTCGTCAATATTGCTGAAAAACCTACAAAAAAACTTTGCTATCGTTTTTTAGAAGGCTTACTTCAAATCTCTGGACGCTGGAAAAACACACGAGTTTGGCTAGCCTCGGGCATGAATCAAGGCCCCAGGATGCATTGCGGCACACACGTTACCCATCAGCCGGTCGAGAATCCTTGCCAGTCGCTGGCGACACACGCACCGGGTCAATTTCATGCAACACAAACAAGGGGAGCATCCCGGAAAAGGGGCAGGGAGCAGATTTTCCGTCTTGCATGGAGGACACGTTTTCCCTCGCCTTTCCCCGGCTTTTCCTTTGAGAGGCAGCCAGGCGGGCAGAGCGGCGAGCAGGTGCTCAGCTGTAACTAAACGTCCGTTTTAACATTGCCACCTGATGGCCCTGCTCTTCTTTTGCGGATTGCCGATTGTGGATGGGGATGCGGCATGTGGCATGTGGCACATGCCAGTTGCTGGTCACGTCGGCTGCTGGGGCATAATTGATAGTTCAATCTGTTGCAGATCAAACGCTTGACAGCAGCCCACAGATCAAGCTGAAAAATTGTCCAAGGCTAAGTTCTCCCAAAAAGGGGGAGACCTTTGATTACGGGTATCTGTATCTCAGAAATGCCCTTTCCTTTTAGTTATTTTCATGTAATTGGGGATTGAACTAATGAAAGTAGTCAAGATTTAGCATTTACATGTGTTATCGTACTTTTTATATAGTCAGAGAATATGTATGCTTTAAATAACATTGGATTCCCTATTTTATTTTCTAAAAAAATTTTTCTGGCTTAGTCTCTTCATATGCTTCTATTGAATTTAGTTTCAAAATTGAATGGCTTCAATAAAGTTATTTCTTTCATATAACTTTTTGTTTCACTTTTTAGTTTATCAATACTTTATATGCACTAATATTTATTCCCAAAGAGTTTCCTTTTAAGAACTCTTTAAAAAATGTTCACAACTACGCCGCAATATTCTGCTTTATGCAGCTTCATATTTATTTTAATGGATTTGGCCTTTCAGGCTGCACTTTATATTTCCAAAGTTCGTGAGCGTTTGTCAACCCAATGGCGCCTGGGGGAGGGGGAGGGGGAGGGGGGGGAAAGAAGCTCATCCAGACGCTGGCATAAAAACATCTTTTAGCCAAATAGATTTTTATGCTTTTAAGTAATTTTTCGCACAAATTGAAAATCCCCGAGAAGCTAACGCTCGTACTGCTTCTTGCATCCGTTCTTTAAGCTTAAGCTGAGTTATCCTTCAGTATTTATATGTGTTCCGAAATATGTACTTTTGTTTACATTTTTTATGCGGGTTTTTTGTTTGCTACTCATGTTTTGTCGCTTAATTTTAATGGCTTGCTGCGCATTAAACTTCTAGCTTCATTTATGTTTATGTGCGTATTTTTATTTGTGTAATTTACGCGTCGAGTGCTGATCATAAATTGTGACACGAACTGCGGGCTGGAAAGGTCACGTTGCCTCATTAAAGTCCCAACAACAGGAGCAACTCGAACAACAGCAATAAGTGTAATAACAAGAGCAATAAGAGTCACAAAAAGCGCACACAAAACACATGGCAACAGGATAAAATGATTTACCTTAAAAATGAAAGAATATAAAAGACAATCATTTTCAGAGCAATACGTGTCGGAAATATTGCAGTGTATGAATTATTTACGGAATTCCTACATATTATTCTTAAAGATTAACCTTTGTAAATAAAACCTTTTTTGACGTCAAAATACGACTTTTAATACGTCATTCACTTATCAATAGAATATAAAACCTCAACCCAATTCATCAACCTCTCGACTCTGCACGTGTCGATATAATACTTTAAATTTAATTCATAAGTGCAAGATAACAAAAAAATCACATTTTATTCGCATTCTATGATTAATAATGAACCAAAACAAAATATTTCCAATGAATTTCTAATCGAACTGTCATTAATATATGGTATCAACGTTTTATCAGAAGAATACCTCTAGCTATAGACAAGTCAGTTGGCCCAGTTAAGAAATCAGTGTGGAATTAAACGCGGAAGAGGAAAGTCGTCTTATAAAGAAAGAACTATAGTAGCACTAATTGAAAGGGATAATTCCTATGGAAGGTAAATTGCTTAAAAGTACAGGATAGAAAAACATTTATTTTACAATGCAAACGAATGGGAAGGAAACAACCCACATTTAAAAGTTATTTACAATTTCTACAAAATAAACTTCTGAAAATAGTGTATACCTTAAAACTTGAAACAAACATGTTAGCCACTACTATGAAAACCAAAATGATAACATTTGAGAAAAAGCTATGTAGTCTAGTGGGCAATGGTTTTTAATTACCTTATCTCTAGTGGGCAATGGTTTTTAATTACCTTATCTCAAAGTTTTTAAAACCGATTATTTATCATTTAACTGTTAAAAACAAAAGTGGCGTATTAAATTCTAATCTTTGAAGTACTTATTTTTTCAGTTAAAAATTCCAACCCCTTGCCATGGCTTCTCGTGGTTATAGCCATCTTCTGGAGCTGGCAACTTAATGTGTTGGCTCTGCCGAAAGTCGAACCTCGCCATGAAACCTGTAACAATGAGCAGCGGTACGAAAACCAGGTGATGTGCGAGGGTAAGGACTTTGGGGCTTTGGTACCCTATCCGGATAATTGCAGTCTGTTCCTGGTCTGCGATTGTCTCTATCCCACGGTGAAATTGTGCCCGGCGAATCTCTGGTGGGATAACCAGACCCAGCTCTGTAATTACCCACAAGCTGTGGAGTGTATTTACTATTCGATTGAAACGCCCGAGCCCACTGATGGAACTACCCGAATAACCCCACAGCCAACAACCAGTACTGAAAAGATAACTACAGAAAGTACTACCAGAACTCCAGAAACATCATCAACTACCTCGAGTACCTATCCAACTTCCAGTTGGGATCCACCGCCAGTACCACCTGGAATTGCGGATGACTACTGTCGTGGCTACAAGGATGGTTCAGTACATCGTTATCCCTATGATTGTCAGGCCTATATTAATTGTACCAATGGCTGGCCCGTTCTGAATTATTGTATTGAAGACAAGGTGTTCAATAAGTACCTGCTCATTTGCGATACTCCAGATCAAGCGGATTGCGAGGAGTTGCCACTACCCACAACCACCACTGAAATTCCAACCACTTCGACCACCGAAGAGGATGATCAGACTTGCGGTCCAGTTCCAGAGGGAATAGAGGAGGATTACTGTGAGCCAAAGGGAAATGGTTTCTATGAGTACCCCTACAATTGCAGTGGCTACTTGGCCTGCAAAAATGGTTGCACTGATTTGGACTACTGCCAGCCAGATAAACTCTTTAATACCTGGCTTCACATTTGCGATACACCCGATTCAGTGTGGTGTGATCCAAAGCCAGTTCCCACAACTCCAGGACCGACTGAAAAACCTTCGACTCCTTCAATCACTACAACTCCTTCAACTCTCCCATCTGAAGGAACATCCACAACAGAAAGTTCCACCACCACAACAGAAGAGATCATAGCCACTACACCTGGACTTCCCTCAGATGTTGATCCAAATGATTGTAGAGGCCAACCTGATGGTACCATATTCGCCTATATTGGCAATTGTTCCGAATACTTGCTTTGTCAAAACAATCAAGTGCAAATGGGTCGTTGTCCTACTCCACTGCTCTTCAATCCCGACTGGCTTGTATGCGATGATCCAGATGATGTAGTGTGCCTTGCAGATCGCACCACCACATCGACTACAACCACCGAACCGACGACAACCACTGAAAAAACCACTCCACCAACGACGACCACTACGGAAGCCACAACATTGGGACCTGATCAGATGTGCGAGGCTCAAGAGTTGGGAACTTCTTTTCCTTATGCTGAAGATTGCAGCAAATATTATCTTTGCTTGGGCAACGGAAAATGGACTCTGGCACCCTGCATATACGCCAGCTATTTCGATCCCAAGACAGGCGAGTGTGGACCTGATGTGTCACCCGATGCTTGTAAGGCCCCACAGGTTACCACCACCACAACGACTACAGAGGCCACAACCACCGAAAGGACTACCACAACTAAGCCCACAACTCTGCAAACTTCAACCACTGAAAAGACAACCACAACTTTGGCACCAACCACGGGAATTTGTGGAGGTCGAAGTGAGAACGAAAATATAGCTTATCCCAAGGTTTGCAACAAGTACATAGTGTGCGTCTCACCGATTCCTATAGCCTTCTTTTGTCCAGATGACACATTCTTCAGCTCGAAGTTACAGAAGTGCATTGATAGTTGGGAGGAGAGTGATTGCGAAGGAGATCAGGGCACCACTACTCCAGAACCGGGCTACACACGACCACCTCCGGAACCCACCATGTGCACAAATAGCAGTCGGGATACTTTCCCATATCCAGAGAACTGCCAGTGGTTCATACGTTGTGTGGATGAGTATATTTACATGATGGACGTCTGCAATTGTGGCGAGTATTACGATCCCATAACTGGAAAATGTGGAGTGGATGTTCCATCAGATGCATGCCGATGGGATTACGCTTCAACGACTTCAACTACCAGTGAGCCGACCACAACCACAGCGGTTACGAGACCACCGCCACAAAAGGGACCCTGTGATGATGTTGATGATGGTGCCTTGGTTTCCTATCCCAACGACTGCTCCAAATACATAAAGTGCGACAGACCCATTGCGGAGGCCTTTGATTGCGAAAAGGGGGATGAGTTTAGTGTGGAACTAGAAAAGTGTGTGGATGCTTCGCTGGCTAACTGTTCGATTAAAACGACGACGACTCCAGCTGGAGATGATTCATCATCGAGCACCACAGAGCCGACAACGGAATCTTCCACCATATCCACAACAGTATTGTCTACACTATCTACGACTGAATCGACAACAGAGTTATCTACAGAATCATCGACAGAATTATCTACTGTATCGACCACTGAGTCGACCACAGAATCCTCGACTCAAGTTCCTACGGAATCCACAACAATTTCAACTACCTCCGAGCCAGAATCTTCTTCAACAGAACCAGCAACAACTACAACAGGAGCTTCGACCACAGCAAAACCTGCAGAGGGAGTTTGTGATGGCAAGACGGACGGCTCTTTGGTGCCTTATCCTAGAAACTGCAGCAAGTATATAGAATGCCAGTATCCTATACCCGTTGGATTCGATTGTGCCGATGGCTTAGAGTTTAGTCCTACGGAACTGACATGCATGGATCCCGAATTAGCCGGTTGCAGTCCAAGGTCCACCACTCCTGGGTTAACAACGTTGACCACGGAATCAACAACTCCCAAGACAACTACCACAGAGTCAACCACAGATTCAACAACTTCTGAGACATCTACGACAGAATCAACAACTCCTATTACAACTACTACAATTTCAACAACAGTTTCAACAACTCCAATAACAACAACCACAGAGTCAACAACAGTTTCAACAACTCCCATAACAACAACCACAGAATTAACAACAGTTTCAACAACGACAGAGTCAACAACAACTTCGGCGCCCCCAGTAACTCTCGATCCATACACCCCCAATATTTGTTGTGGCAAACCTCTGGGAACTCTGATGGCATATCCCAATGATTGCAGACGTTACGTGGTATGTGATTATCCCATTCCATATGCGGTGGATTGCGATGAAGGAACTGTTTTCGATGAGAAGCTTCTTGAGTGCACAGCACAGTCAAATGAGAGGTGTCTATTATTTCAATTTTAAATGATATGTACTAATAAAGAAGTAATCAGAGCAATACTAAATGAGAGGTGTCTGATTTTGCAATTTCTTTTCTTTCCACCCCTCAAAATCAATTGTGTAAGTGCACAAATGCTCAGTAATTGAGAAACGGTTATCATATTAATTTCACTTCTTTACTTATACGGCTTTTTTAATGCCCTTTTTAAGTGTTCAACGGTTTGGGTATATACCTTGCCCCATTTCTGGTATCAATTACATGCAAACCCTTTTCCGTAATTTGTCGCAACAAAACGAAAGTAGAAATGAAACCAGACCAGAAAAAAAGATAATTTACCACTTAACACACTCAATTCCCCCGACAGGTAACAAGCCGATTGGAATTGTAGAACCTCCTGTCGAAAGGATTGGCGAGGAAGACCCTCAAGGGGACGCTGGCACAGGACAGGATTTTTAGCAACAGGCTAAAAGCAATTTCCCCTTGACAATGCCACATCTAATATCTGCTCGCTTACAAGTTTCAGCCATTTATCGTAGTTTGATACTGCCTTGCTTGCCCCAAAGCTCAGACCCTCGGAAGCCCGTCTAATCAGATTTGGGGTTGCCGCATAAAAACACAATTGCCAAGGAATTATCCCTGGAGTGTGAGGGGCCGGCAGGACGTATACAACTGGGGGTAAATATAACAAGCACAAGGATAAGTTGTTCAGCTTTGTTGTTGTTGTGGCTGTTGTTAGAAATATCGAAGAAAAAGAAAAGAAAACCCACAACGAATCGCAAGGCAAGTTATGTATGTGAGTAGCAATGACAGTAACGACACAAAATGAACACAATTCGAGCAAATTGTTTGGCAATAATGTTAACTTAATGCGTTCCATTTGTCGCACTTCAATCGATAGACACGCGCGAAGGCGCTCCTTCGAGTGATTTGTAACGCTTTGATAGCTCCCCAGGACAAACAAGGATTTGTGCTCGTGTCTATAGGGATAATCATGGTGTTGCCCACAAAATTGAGCAACAAGTCACATGAAATTCATTTAATTGAAGATAAGACTTTGCCCTACAGCCTTGCCGACCGATTAACTGATTTTAAATGGGATTTTCATATTAAATGTTCATAAATTAACTGTTGATTGGCTGAGTGTCATCTAAAACTGAATCCCGATGCCAAGCTGGGTAATAAAAAAACAATTTCGCCCAGATTTGCCTAGCCATAGTTGAATCACAGCCAAAAGGGGGTACTGCCAAAAAAAAGGTTCAACAGGCAATACCCAAAAAAATAGACACTTTTTCTATCAATTCTAATGTAAGTTTAAATATTATATTCCTAGAAAAGATTTCTTTAGATCAAGTAAACTAAATTAAGATTTTAGTTTGAATTTTTCATGAATAGCTTTTTAAGTGAAAAATATTCTCTCAAAGTAGGTTAACCTATATTGGGCCAACGGCCAAAAAACCAGAAGCTCATAAATTTACCGTTTAGTGGATGTATAATCTGTGCCAAGAATGCAGAGCGTTACAATTTTATAATTAAAGTTTTGGGGCATAAACAACATTTAAAACTAGTTACAGGTAGGAATCCCCCAACCAATTGTCAAACGAAGCCAACTTAATGGAGGGATAGGAGACTCACAGGCAACTCTCAACTTGCAACGATATCTAGACAAAGCTAACAATTATCAAAATCTCAAAGTGTAGCAGTTGAAGGAGAGACAAATCGCAGCGAAAACATTTTCGAAGCAGTCGACACATGTTGGTATATCAAATTACCATAACTGAAACTATGGCAATTCCTTCTTCCCCCGTTTGCATTTCGGCATGGGGTTTTAGCTTGTGAAACTTTGCTGGCGCTTATTAATGTGCGATTCCCATCCATTTATGTAAAATGTATTTTATGCTTCCCGCGGGAATTCCACTCCATGTTGCATGCCCAGCAGTTAGACAGACAGCAAAAGTTCTGGCTTGTTTATGCTATATTAAATGGCATCTGGGTATAGAGAAAAATTCATTGCGAAAATTGGTAACTTTGAAATATTTACATTTCGACAAAATTTCATAAAAAGCTTATGCAAAATAAATGGTTTATGGAGGAACCGGAAAAATGCTTTGCTAGTATTTATGAAAACATAATCAAATGTTATGGCCAGTTAGGGGCAAACGCAACTAAACTCAACTGAACCGGACTGAGTTTTTTATTTAAGGCGGATGGGGGGAAATGCACTTAACTGGTAGTGGGGCTTTCGGTTTCGGGTTCAGTGAACTGAAAACTTTGTTTGGCATTATATAAATATTTTATTATTATGTTGAAAGCATTTTTTTAGAAAGTAGGCAAATGGAACAAAATTAATCGATGTTTTATAGGATATACCATAAAAAGTTTTATTAATGAAACTAATTAAGCTACTTATTGCATATTTCATAAAACATCAATTAATTCTAGTAACCTTTTATACAAAGATTATACAAATAATAAATTGGTTTTCATTTAGTGAAGAGCAACTTAATAAGCAGCTAATTTAATCAAAAAGTTATTCCTTTCCCAATACGAACCAAATTGGAGGCATCATAAAATACTTGAGCAATTATTTGGATAACTTTTTGGACAACTTCACCTGTAATTTATCAGCCTTCTTATATCAGACACCCACGGCAATCCATCCACTTGAGATAAACCTCAACCTTTCTCAAAAACCCACCCACTTTCAGAAAGATGACAGCGTGTAAGCGTTGTCATAACACGATCCGGTCATATAAAAACAAAATTCGCACAAATTTAACGCCTTCGTCGCAGACGTTTAGGTTTTTATGGGCCAGCCACTCCCCCTTGAAAGACAACCCACCACCGCCCACATAGCATTCATATTCATAAAAGGCAGCGACTCATCATTATTTGTCAGGGATGCATGTAAACAAGTCAACAAAAAAAGAGCAAAAGACAAAAATCATGAGTCAGGCATAAAATTTTATGAACTGAACGGGGCGTAAAAGGATACAGGATGGGAAATGAAGGATGAAGAAGGAAATGCGAATCCAAGGCGACATTGCGTATACGCAGCGTGGGGCGCAGGTTTGTGACTCAATTAAAAATCAGCATGTGGCTTTGATATAATTTGTACAGTGCGGGTCATGGCAGCACGTTATTTATAATTGGAATAAAATATATTTTAAGTATTTCTTCACATTTTTGTATAAGTACATTAAAAATGGGATTGAATTATTATTATTATGAACTCCGGGTACCTATAAATTATCAGCATACATTAAAAGGAATTCAAGTAATTTGAGCATTTATTTTGATTTGAATAATGCTTTACAATTATCTGCAACACTGTTCTTAGGCAGTAATGAATATTTTAATTATCGGAGAAATACAAAGTGCGAGTTGCCCGCAGGTGGTTTCTGTTGGTTTAATCAATCTCTGAACTGTTAACATTTCTTTACATTTCTTTCTCCTTTGCATACTGTACATTTCTTAGTCTGTGATTCGCTTTTGGAACCGAGACCAAAATAAGTCACTGAGAAAGTGAGTGGAGAAATCGAGAGTGAGTGCCAATTTAATTAAATTGATTTTCGCATCTTTCCGTGGTGAGATTTTAATTAAACCTTTTTCGATAGATTGCCAAAGAGGAGGAAACGATTAAGCCAACTGCTACAGAGAACTGCAATTTGCTTTGAGGTTTTTACCTACTCCTGTATATTTTTTGCTTTAAGTATTTCCATTTCTCTAAAGTTGGCGAATTGCAAATTTTGTTATTACAAGCTAGGCGGTCAACCTACCCACAATTGGCTCTCTTTCTTGCCAGCCAACGAAGTTCAGCTTCAAGTCAAAGTTTTTCCCCCTTCATGTGTACCCAAACTCTGTTAGGAGTCGTGTGTTTATTTAATATCTATAAAATAAATTAAACATTCATATTCCGTTTATTTACTTAGGCAAATTGAGTTTTCGCAGTTGACATGATGAACACGCTAAAAAAACGAGAAGAAAATTCAGTAGAATGCCGGAGGAAAACGCGAGTCATGTAGGCGGGTGGAAAACCGGGTAGGTTGGGGCCAAAAAAGAAGTCAAAAGTTGGCTGTGTCATCCACATCGGTCTGTAAACAGGAAACGAGTGTCTGTTGCATGCAGAGAGTGACAAATGTCATGAAATATTCAAATTGGCAGAAGTGTTGCTGTCGCTGTCGAAGTCACTTTGGCCCTAACACATTTTAGGCAAAAGTTTGGCACAACTTTAATTGGGCCCGCAAAAATTTACATTTCTTCGACACATTTATCATAGCTCAGGAACCTTAACAGCTCATAATTGGCAATTGAGTACAATATAGAATATAATAAATACACAAAGCTCAACCTTTTGGGGTCAGGCAGGGGCACACAGCAAATGTAGATAAATCAAAAGTCTCTAAGCTATGGAAAAAACATTTGTAAGTTGAGCCAGAACCGCAAACACATCCCCCAAAGTGTACACACATGGAAAACGCTTCGTTTTCATTGTGTAAATATTTAAGCAAACAATAAAATTCGAAGCAGGAGCAGGACGAAAAGGGGAGGGGCAGTAGTAGCAGGTGTCAAATGTTGCGGCCAAAAGAAAAGCAAAGTCAGTTACACCCAGGGCCACCCCTTCCTGTCCCTCTTTCCTTTTAGAAAATTTATGACAAACAGTGGCAGACACACACAAACGTTTGAAATCGCCCATATGTTTAGAATAAAAAATAAATAAGAAATGTGATACTAAAAGCGCCGCATTGCAGTTACCTATTACTTAAAAATTTGTTTATTTTAATTTAAGATTTGAATTCAATTATAATTTATTATAAATTAACTCTATACCAGGAAAACCTTAACTGTCATTATATGAATTATATCATGAATTTTTATATAATAAATTAAAACATATTTTGCCAGATTTTGTATTACTTATTAATGCAACAAATTAATTCATAGGTAATAATTTTTAAAACATAACAATATCAACACTTATATAATTAACCAGCTATATGGGCTTAAGATTAAAGAAAGTCGTACTACAAATGCTCAATATAATAC